ACATTCTCAGTTTAGACATGATGTTAAAAGATTAAATTGAATCTATTGTTAGATTTGTTGCACAGACAATTGGTGGATTTCATTTTGCTAAACAACGGATGTAAAGTTTTTCACAGACAGGATCTATCTTACATCTATAAATCAACCGTTCCTCTATAAAGTTGAATATTAAACTGGAGGGGATTATTGTCCCTATCTCGCCATATTCCATATATATTTGACATATATATATATATATATATATATATATATATATATATATATGAGAGAGAGAGACAGAGAGAGAGAGAGGCCATTGATGCCTGATAAAAAAGCCAATTATAATCCTGGCCTAGAATCTCGTCAGCCAACGTAACTTTTTCCACTTAGCATTAAAAGTGGCCTCGATTTTTATTTTGGAGACTATAGCTATTTTTTTGTTCATTTAGCAATTTTTTGGATGAACATTTCCACTGTTTTGTACCTAAAATATCTTTTTGAATTTCAATCGTCTCGTATCTAAAAATGGCAACATGGGATAGGACTCATTAATTTAAGAATTGAATCGGCAAGATGGAAGCGTTAGTTCTATACTAAGAGTTTCTTTACATTTGGTTGAATATATTAACCCTGAAAATTAAAATCCGGTTTGATTGACTACGAACCCAGGAAAAGACCCATACTATAACAAAAGATTTAGATGTTAATATTTACGTTTTTGTCTGTTTTTTTACTGAGGTTTTTCCTGTTTCATCTGAAGTCCGCAGCCCAACATCAAAATAATCATGACGTCTCTGAATCTTGACTGAAATTGTTCTAAAAATTTAACTTTTTCTCCGCAATCAAAACTATTTTTCCAATAAGACCGGTTTGTCTATCGAAAGTCATGTCCAATAAAATTGGTCTTTTGAAAAGGACAACAAATGTTTATCCTTGTTTCAACTTTAGGAATGATTCCATCCAGTTCCTTTTAAAATCTAGAACCAAAATTTAAACTACTAACGTTTCTCCCTGAACTTCTGTTCAAAAAACAATTTTTTGAATTAAATCTTTGACCTTTTCTATTTTTGTTATTTGCTGTTAAATTTTGTTTATGACAGAAGTCCTGTTATCTTTCCCTTTATTATGCTATTTCAATCATCCCCCTTATGAGGTCCTCTCAGAGATTTAGGTTTGAAGGACTTAGTAAAAAAATAACTTCTTGGAACTTGTGGAACTCCAGTACTATGCTTAAATTATTGCATGAAACGTATGAACTACATTCCCTGGTCCTATTTAAAACTTCATTGCAAGAATCACCATGCCAGATCCAAAGAAGAATCAACAATATTATTTGTCCCATCAGTGGAATTAATCCACTTCACACACTGACGTAAATTGTCTGTGTTAACTTTTTTTGGATTAAATGATTTCCCACCTAATTATTCGGAAACAGATCCTTGTAACACTATGGAACCCCATCCTTGTAAATTTAACCACAATTTAAAAAAAGAAAATAAAATCAAAAACTTATTGAACAATGAACATTTTGATGCCGTTGTTTTCAATGATAACATTTAATTTTTATAGTTCTCGTTTGTGGATATTTTTACTACTTTTGCAGACCACAGTATGCTTTCAAAGCCAATTTTAAAGTGTAAAGTCTGTAAATGCAAATCATACAATCGGATTATCTACTGTCCTCCTGGGTGATAGCTGTTTTATTGAATTTAGGTCTTTAATAAACTTTCTTTTTTTTTGAGTATTCTTTGCAAATAATTAATGACAACATATTTATTGCCTTAGCAAACTAGACAGAAAGAATTGGGGTGAATATTAAAAAGAATGCCTTAATGGATATACAGGTTCAAATGAATCTCTGTATATAATGTTAGCACACACACATTACTATATATATATACATTGCGTGCCAAATTATTATCGAGATAACTTTTTTCTAATATTTAAAAAACCATTGAATCAATTCCCACAAAATTTTCACACAATGTTGGCAACACGGGCCTGCGTAATCACTGAAATATTCGTACCGATCTGCGCAATGTAAACAAACTGGCGCTATATTTGTTATAAGTGTGGTGATTTGAGCGTGCCAAATTATTAGAAAAGTATAAGAATTTAGTGAAAAGATGGACCATAAAAAGCAGTTAAAGTGATGTTGAAAAGAAAACTATCACCTCAGAACTCTCAAAAGGTAAATCTACCCTATAAACTTTTAAAATGATAGGGAGGTGTCATCAAACAGTGAAAAAGTTCACCGCTGACCCTAAACAAGTATATAAAAGGGCAGATAAAGGCAAGCTGTGGGTTATTTCACGTCGTCTCATGTCACGACTTAAACGAGAGGCCACAAAAAACCCTGGACTTACCAGTCAAGTGCATTTCAGTCGCATTGGGGATCCTACTGTCTCTAAAAGTACTCGGTGTCGGTATCTGAGGGAAATAGCAGCAACAGTCAAACCTATATCGAAGCCTCCGATGACGAGAAATCACATTCAAAATCGATTGAAATGATCCGAGGGCAACATGTTTTGTTCACAGACGAAACTCGAGCAACACTTGATGGGCCAGATAGATGGTGCAAAGGCTGGGTAATGAACGGAGAGAATCGCCGTCAGCGTTTGAGACGCCAACAAGGCGGTAGAGGCATAATGATCTGGGGTGGTATTATTGGAATAACATTAGTGGGCCCATGGAGAGTACCAGATGGCGTCAAAATGACTGCTGATGCATATATGGCGTTTATGAAGGCGCATCTTGAACCGTGGATGAAAAGGCAAAGAGTTGCCTTGAGAAGGGCTATTGTTTTTATGCAAGTTAATGCTCCCTCACATGCTGCTCACAAGACTACTGAATATTTGAAACAGTTAGGCTTTGATGGACCTCGAAAAATGAAGTGGCCAGCAAATTCTCCGGATTTGAACCCAATCGAAAACTTTTGGAGCATCATGAATTGAAGACTGTACGCCAACGGACAACAATTCAGGAGCAACGCTGAGTTGTGTGAAGCAATTCTTGACATATCTCGCGGCATTACAGCAGATGACATCCTTCAATTAACAAATTCTATGGATCGTCGACTTCTTCAAGTAATTTCAAAACAAGGTAATCACATTCCCTATTAATTTGTTTAAAACTGTGCCTTTGTTTGTATCTGTTATTACCTGTTTGATTATCTCAGTTATTAGCTTCTTTTGATCATAAACATTCAAGTGCAACATTAATAAACGTTTTGTTTGCTCAATTCTGGGAATTTGACTAAACCTTTGTAATAATTTGGCACACTCAAATCACCGTGTTGATAACAAATATGGCTCCAGTTTGTTTACATAGCGAAAATTTCAGTGCTTGCGCAAGCCAGTGTTACCAACATTGTGTGATAATTTTGTGTGAATTGAATAGACGGTTTTTGAAATATCAGAAAAAAGTTATCTCGATAATAATTTGGCACGCAGTGTATACACACACACACACACACACACACACATATATATATATATATATATATATATATATATACACAAAAATATATATACACACATACATACGCAAACACACACACACACACACACATATATATATATATTACTGAATCACATTTCTGCTGTCATAGTCATATACAAAAAAAAAAAAAAAAAAAAAACACACACACACAAAATAATCACATAATATAATGGATTCAATACACTGTTCTTAAAAGAATATAGTAAAATAAAAATTAAAAAGGAAAATATTTCAAATCGTAGTTACGTTGAAAATTTTTTTTACAACATATTTTTTTTTTTTTTTTTTTTTAAATTCAGACGACATCCATTCAACCGACGTCATTTATGTTTAAAAATACATTTATTTACCAAAATGTATAATAACTGATAAAACTGTCATAAGGAAAATCTAGACACCCCGTGTTCAATTTGAGTAGAATATTCTGTAACCATGGAAACGTGATTTTAGCCCAGCTCCAAAATTCGCTTGAAGATGAAATAGAACTTAAAATTAGGGTTTTAGCCTATTTTTGAAACATGAACGCGAAAATAACTATTTTAAATCAATTAATTTATAATATATATATATATATGTATTTATGTATGTATGTATTTATGTTTGTCTGTTTATTTACGATTTTTCCGTGTGTAGAAAATTGACGGGTAGAGGGCAAAATAACGATGACCCAGCCGATGCTGTGATAACTTGTTCCCGTTGACGCGAACTGGTATCGTTATCGAAGAGGGTTCGTATATATAATAAGGCACATATAACTTGAAGAATATTTTGTTCACTTTTAGAAATCCATTTCAATATTTAAAATTATAATTAAAATATAGTGGAGGGGAAAATAATTTTTTAAAAAGAGTATTTGATTATACGTTGCTCTTAGAACGAGAAATAAGCAAACACTTCTATAAAAAAATTTAAATCTACGGACTGCCGAGGATAACTCAGACATTCTAAAATTTACACAAAAATATTGTTCTTTGGAAAATGTTGCAGTAAAAATAATTTTGGTTGTAAATATTTAATATTTATAAGGATAATATACCTGTAACTTTCCTGAAGTATTTATAAATTGTATGCTGTTCAAATATTAACGTTAACAAAGAACTATTTTAAATTACAAAATTGTACTTGGATTAAATGAAAATTGCTTGCAATATAATACATATTCCTTATAAATGATTCCTTCTTGCCCTCAAATTTGATGGCACATGTACCCTAGTAATATAATAAATGATATGAATAATGATAACCGCTCAACCTAGAAATTCTGGTAGAAATATACTCCACTACGAATGACAACATAAAGCAAATACAAACATTTAAATATCTGGGAGCTTTTGAAAAAAAATGACGAAAAATGCGACATCGAAATCTGCATTGGGACATCGAAAAATACCTTCTAAAATATTAAGAAACGGAACATTCTCATTCGAGACAAAGAAAGGCGTATTTATCATTTAATCAACATCCGTCCTCATATGTGGCAGTGAATGCTGAACAAACTTCCCCACAGACGAAGAAACGGCTTACGGTCAAATCACGCTGAAACACCGGTTCTCGTTCGATCACCGAAGTTAAGCATCGTAGAGCCAGGTCAGTACTTAGATGTGGGACCGCTTGGGAACACCTGGTACTGTAAGTCCCCAAAGTCCAACCCTTACCTCACAGTCGGTGGGGGGGTGTAAACGGTAGTGTCAGAGCTATGCCGCCCGGAACTTTGTTCCTGGTAGGGCCACCCAAGGCGGACAGGTCTGACACACACGCCGGCTAACAAGGGCTCTGGTGAAAATCCAAGGAGCCTCTGCATCGGTAACCGGCGGCTTTTGGTCGTTCCTGTCTCTGCGTCTGTGGGAATCCTGCGGCAAGGAAGAACGTTATTCGAGTAGGCCTGGGTACCCTACTTCTGTAATTTATCCCAAGAGTCTTCTTCTCATAACAGGAAGAAGCCGGCTCAATCCGCCCAGGGTGAATGCTGCATCAGTACAGTAGTACAGTAAATATGAAGCTCCAGATTGATAGTAAGTCATATACTGAACAAATGAGCAATGATGAAGTTTTAGAGAAAATGGAAGCCAAAAGGACATGTATATTTAACATTATAAGTGCAATTTAGGGCCTACAATGAGAAAAGAGGTTTTAGATAATTTGACGCTCACGGGACATACTGGGGGCCATATGCACAGAGGAAAAAAAACAAATACTCTTCTTAATGTGATTTTGTGAATGGTTAGCAGAGTTTGGGAAAAATGGTAAAAGAACAACATTTAGTAAATTTTGTCTTTTTGCTACAAACGGCAGGGAATAGTAGAGATCCATGATCGTTCACCCCCTGAAGGTATACTGAAAACAAAAGATGACGTTTTAAGTAGTATCAAATATGTTTCTTTGAAAATTATTATAGTATGTTCCCTGGGTGCAAAAAGCTTCCGATCTTTGTGGTAAAGCTTAAAGATTCGTGTTTGAAGCACTTACAAAGCTTAATGAATCAAAGTAATAAAATATAGACAAGAGACTGACTAATGGATGATGTCCTGAATGGCAGTCTAATAGTTTGACCTGTTTTTATTTAAAACTATATTCGCAGAAAACAATTTCTCTTATCATTCTCTGAGCCAGCTCCAAAATATTGATAGGGCGAAACAGGCTTGTGACTTTCAACACCTAAAAGAACCAGCAAAATCCAAAATTAGACCGTCATGTGTAAACTGTTCCCCGTGGGTCGCCTATGACCCGACACCTTTCTGCAGGGCTCGCCAAATTTCACGAGGAAAATAACTTTTAATAAAATATAGTTTTGTCCCCTTTCGTTCGCACTTGTTCCGTAACACACTCATGCATAACCACATACATAAACAATTATTAATTACAACGTTTGTTGAATTTTGTAAATTTTCGTTGACGGTAACGTTGTCAGCATTTTAAACCATTGGCGATTTCTACTAAGGAAGATCAGACGAGTAAACATTTTATTTTGTTTCAGAAACAGGAAATCATGAATGTAATTATATTTCTCTAGAGAATAAATATAATTCTTTTACAAATATTTTGCATACTCAAATGAAAAAATTAAAAAAAACAAAACGAGTCACACGCAGCACTATATGATAATCACTCTGTCATCATTATCCCAAGACATCAATTGTTTTTAATTACAGAGATAAAATAAAATATTCAAATAAAAATATCAACTTTTCCCCATTTCTAAGGCAGATACTGATACACTTTGTATTTTTTTAATAATGGCTGTTAATGAAAAAATACCATGATTTTTTTAGTAGCAAGGCTCTCCGTATGATGTACTGAAAGTCATCGTGTCCACTGTTTGAACAAAAGAAAAAAAAATCTAAACATACATGAATTACACCATTCCTAATCAAAGAGAATACAGACTCTCAATCAGACCTGTTGTTTTGAACGTACACTGGGACTCAAGTTCACTCCAGATCGAAAGGCAAACTCTTTTGTACAACCTATTTATAAAAATGCTGTAAAAACGGTTCCAGAAAGTACCTCACTCGTACCATTCTTTCTATTTACCAGAGTCAGATTAGCCAAAAGAAATGGAGTATTGCTGGAACTGCTCAAACATCACATTTTTTTGTCTTGATAGAAAGAAAAATTGTTTATGCAGTTTTGCGTGATAAGAGTCATTATCCACTATTTCTTTCTCACGGAGGCAAAGTCCCAAATTTAGTCGCTAATTTATCGACATTTCGATGTAACTGTCGAGACGAACTCTAGTTTTTAGTTCGCGGAATACTGACTTATATATCCGTCACTTCTCTTTCCTATTTTCAGTAAAGAAAAGTGTCTACTGAGATTTATACTTGGAGAACTTGAGTAAAACAAATATTAAACATCGATGTGTTACGCTGAGTGCAGGTTTGCTGAGTTCTTTGAGGACATTTGTATTAATTTACTGAAAAAACATAAAACTTTAAAGAAGAGCTTTATTTGAGGAGAAAATGGTATTAATAGATTTGAGACGCGTCTACTTAACGTATCTGCTCTTAACATAAATGACGGCTTCAGTACGAGGTATGAAACATTGACACGACCTAATCAGATGATCGTTATCTATTTTGGACATTGTGCTAGTTATGACAGACAACATATTTTTCATAGTGCTATGCTAACGTGATCAACACCTCTCAACTAAATCATGTCAAGTGAGCTAGGAGGCCATATTTTGGTGGTGAAGTCATCTTGGGGATTGTGACTCATCCATTTTTGCTTTGTCTTGGACTCATGAGATTGCACTGAGCTTTTTTCGGGGGTATTCAATTTTCTTTCCTCATACTCTCTCTTCAAATCCTCAAAAATCCATCCAGCATCCTCTTAACAACATGAAACACATGCTCTCTCTCTCTCTCTCTCTCTCTCTATCTATCTATCTATCTATCTCAGCATATACAGAATCCCTTGGCTTTTCTCCTGGTCTGGCCCGTCTGGGTATCTCTAAATCGCCCCCGAGCAACTGTTGGTCGCTGTAGAGACAACCTTCAGAAACGGGGACATGCCACCGTTGATGATACCAACTGCCAATGAGGACAACTACAAACTATGGCACATCAAGTTGATCCGTGAAGATTCACGGACACTTACCGAGCTTGAAATATCAACAACACAGGCAAGGCTGTGTGTGCTACAGTCGATGGGTGTAGTTTCGCGACTTCCTTATAGTCTACACCTTAAGTCTCTAAAACGAGGCGTGTCTGTATGTCATCTCTCTCACTTGCTCGCTACCTCCCAAATCATCGCAGCTGCGAAAAACTTTGCGTGTACAACGGTTGGATGATTTCCAGGGTCTCTGCATACTCATCTGCCATTCCTTCGGTTGTCCTTTTTGTACTGATCAATGTTTTTCGCATCAGAGAAAAAGCAAAGTATTCCCGACGCATCTTGTTTCAAATAACTTTATAAAAGATTAGCGCAGATCAATCTCTTACCTTGCAGACCTGAAGTGACCTCTCAGAATCACATAACATTTGTATCGTTTGTCCTCCAGCACAATTCTTCCAATGGAGTGCTTTGCAAGCATGGCTGCCTTAACAATGGCATTAATTAGCATTAAAGGTATTTCTTATCATCTTCTACTCGTTTGCTATAAATATTAATATTCTTACGATATTATGACCTCCTAGCAGGCATTTTATGTTTGTATACTGATGAGGATTGACTGATTGATTTGTCTGTTTCACAGCATATCAATTCCTTGTGGATCGTTTAATCCCAAAATTGAATTCTCTTAACAGAGTTGAAGTAATAAAATACGATATATGTTATTCTGCTTTCACAATTGAATACATGGTAGATGATACTCAGCTTTTGTACATGTACATGTTTGTGTGGGTATGATTACTGAAATTGGTAATGCATGTTTTATGCTGTGGTTTTGTTTGATTTTAGAAATTTTAGGATATTATATGATTTAATGTTATGTAAGTTATTTGATTTTGTGGGTTTGGAAATATTTTAAATGGATTTGTTTTTTTAATTTTTTTTTAGCTTTTTTTTTTCGTAGAAACAATAACAGGTGCTAAAACACCGGGTCTGGGTGAACGTAGGAGCAATATCAATTCAGAGGTTGACCCTCACCCTTCAAAACCTCCAATCGCCAGATCAGAAGCTCTGCTGCCGGATGTAGTTTATCGTCATGCCCGGGAATATCTGCTGTAGAATTCCAGCTAGAAATTTGATACCGAACGACTGTTCCGCTTCCAGGAATCGGGTAATCTCTTAATCCCTATGCTTTGTCTTTAAGGCAATGATTACAGCGTTACTCTTCAGTTGCAGTTTTTCAAACATGATGTTTGTCTTTATTTATCTGGAAAAGAGGTATAATCAGAATAATTTAGAAAAATTTAGAGCTATTAATAGACGTTTCCTCAAAGACATGAACAAATATATATAAGAAGTTGTCAATGATAATTCAATTCATATTTTGTCAATGCCAATTTCATCAAAATCAACACGCAGATCAAATATATAGTCGCATAGACACTATGAAATACACAAAATACATGGTATTTATCAATAGTGATATTCCAAAAGGCGAACTACGAATGGGGGGGGCCAGATTCAAGAAATGCAGAAAATTTTACTTTATATTTATTGTTGTAACAGACGGTGTAATCTGTGAATAATGAATTTTGGAAATCCGAAAAGCACACTAAAAATAGAGAAATATATTTTCGAAAAAGAAACCATATTGTAAACATCTTCAGAAACAATAAAACTGTTGAAATGATGTATAATACCAATCCTTCGAGACGACAGAAATTTGTAATTATTTCCTTACTGATTTTTCTTATTACAGTAAGGTTAATCCTTTTCAAGGCCCGGAAGCCACTCAAGGTAGATAGTTATAATAAGTTTATATGGATAGGAGAGTAAGTTAACGGTTGCCTCTAGACCTGAAAAGGTTAAGATTGTGGTGATCGGAGAAAAATCCACTTGGGAGATTGTTCGACAGGGCAGCGGTTTGCTGGATGAACCTCTTGTGTGGAACATACATATCGTTGATGGAATACAGAGGGAATGTCAGTAGTTTGCTACTATGTAAGTGATATTCCAAGTCTGAGTCGTGATGGCTATACGTAGGGGAACCAAGGAATGTAATTCATCTCAGCACTTTCCT